CCGACACCAACCCACACGAGCTATGATTTTAGGACAACGATTGTCGGACACCTGAAGATCTCTCAGTTCCGCTGCTCGAATAGGCCAAGTCTCACAGCCATACAACAAAACAGCCCGTACTGTAGCTTGATACACATGTCACTTCAGATTCAGGGATAAACCATTCTGACGACATAGGTGTCTCAAATTAGCCTTCTATATTGTATCCATTCATTTCTCTTGTTTGCGGTTATTTTGTGTGTACGTCTAGACGAGATGAAAAACCTGGGTGAATAACGAATTTCCGACGATGGTGCTGCTGATCTGTCCCGATCAACAGATGGGGAATCCTGACATCAAACTATCGACGTCCATAGCTTATTTTGGATGGTTTTCAGTTTAGGTCAGTGAGATTTCCATATTAAATTTCCAGTCTCCTTAAAAACTCCAAAGGTCATTGGTAACTTTGGTTTGAATTTTCAGGCAACCCTATGAAGTGGACTTTAAAAAAACGAATTAGTTTTTAGACAAACAAGGATGTTCCTGATGCGTAGAATCATATATTAGGATTTTGAACGATTCGAGTAGCACCTCCATAGTTGCCACCAATCGACCCATCATGGCTCCATCCCACATTTCTACTGCTCAAAAGTGGAAACCTTAAAACGATCTTTAACATTTGTATAAAAAGAAGTAATTTCCAGTGTCACACAATCAACAGAGGTGCTCAATTTTGTCGCACTCAAATTCTTCGGTATGGAATGGCTACAACCCCTTTAAATCCACGTGCTCGTTCCAACACCTCACTCAATTCAACTACACATTTTGGTAGTGTGAGTAGCTGTGCATAACTCCGGACCCCGATTTTTCCCTTCATACGATGCTACTAGTGAAACGAAATAAAATGTACAGACGTACTACACTACTCACAAGGTTGCTGAATACTCTGACGGCTAACGACTGGCGTCGCTGTTTTTGGGGCTCATCCACAGGGGGAATTCTCCGAGTTTATCTCAACCTTATGTTTTACTTGAACCGGAGTCACACAAAATCTGGCGGGTGCACTAATTTACAGCAATCTGATGCAGCAGATTTAGATGAAGAAAAACTTCATAAACTTGAGATTCCGCTAGGTTCCAGGCGAGTCTCTCATGGTGTGCAGATCAGTGTATTAGCTGAATCAACACACTTTGGCAGCCTACTACAACTTTTATCCGCTTAGGACTCATTAGCTCGTGTAAATTCGAGGAATCTTCCGCACTGTTCAACGTGCGCCACAAACGAGGGGGTCTTTCAAGTTCCTCCGCTTATACCATCCTCACTTGCAAGTTAGGAGTTAGCCTCATATATGTGGGATTCACTATTACATTGAATCTACGGAAAAGTTTTAGTTCAACACTTGAATTCGAGCATGCTATTGCTATCGGTTATTTACGCGTTTTTTTAGCACTCTGAAGCATTCATGTTGCCTGAACTTACTGGAAACTTCCAACTTTTGGCTCAGCCTGGACATGGGTTAATAAATCTGCATTCTCAAGAAATACAATCATTTGAAAATCAATTTGGTTTTCACGAGAGACTCAAGTGAATCTCTCGGTAAACTTGTGAGGAGTTTTCTTCATGAAAATGTACTGCGATATCTCGAATATCATGCCAAATGAATCATGAGACGGCCTGTGTGCAGCACATTCAATTGTAGAATACCATAAACGAGAGATTCAGTTGAGTCTCTCGTGAAAACCAAATTGATTTGCAAATGAGTGTATTTCTCGAAAACAGTGCAAGTTGGGTTCAAGTAGAACATAAGGTTGACGGAAACTCGTGGACTGCGCCTACATGATGAGCCCCAAGAAGGGCGAAACCGCTTGTGGGCTGTCTAGGAGTTTTCAGCAAACTTGTGAGTAGTTTCGTTTATGAAAATCTGAATTCTGCTTCCGTAGATAGTGTGGCATGTACTCTAACCCCAAACATAGATTAATTAGTTTATAGCTCGAGGCCATAGACCAAGATTTAATGGAGGTTCCATCGTGTAAATAAAGCCAAGTTGTGCCGAAATTTAGAAAGCTGCTGCCCAGCCGTTGCATCCTTATTGGATATCACCAGCAGAGCAGAACTCGCGAAACTCCGAGGAGATCCCAACCCATAATCTCCTGGATGGCCTTTTAGAAATGTGATTACCCGGCACTTAGGCAAGATGTAGTGTCACTCGTCCTTCAATTGTGGAATCCACATCATGTTAACTTGCTTATAGAATGATGACAATTCAGGTAAAAGAAGGAAGGATGAGTAAAATCGTATCTTATCAAGTGCAAGTTAAGCACAAGGCTGGTTAGTTGCTCGTGGCCGAATGGCTGATTGTTCAAACTACCAACCGGGATGTTTACGTGTTCGAAACTTCCTGAGGTTTCGCGAGATATGCAGAGCTACGCAGAGATTGGGGAAATTCTCCATTGAAAGCATGAAGTAATGACACGGTATACAATTGACTGATCCGATTGCCTGGTTCGGGTTGCACTCGTGAGTAATGCCCATCATCACTTCACTTTAACCTGGCAAGAAACTCCGCCAGGCAAAAATCTGACTTGCTACCTTTTGGAGGACGATATCCTGAAAGACCAGGAGGAGTCATTGACTTCATTTGCTTTGTCCGAGTTCTTGAACAGGAACATGTCTGGCATGTCAGTGCCCAAAGCTCATCGTCAATAATGTTACATGGGAAAATGATCGAGATTCGACTAGGGATACGACGTATCAACCAATTTTACACTCAGAGCTCTAAGTTCCCTTGATATCATGGGTAACTGGATTCTTCGAGCCGACTTTTTCCTCAGATAATACAGTTTCCAGCGTGTCTCCTTCTTTTGGAATGGGTGACGGCTGTTTTATAATTGGATTATTCTAGCCGACTTTTTTCTCAGATAATACAGTTTCCCTTCTTTTGGAATGGGTGACGGCTGTTTTCTCACCAATTCCCTCTGTGGCGGTGCAGTTATTCTTGTATTAGCAGTCGTCGTTGCTGCTTTTTCTGCTCTGATTGGTCGTTTCGCCGGATCCCACACAGCCCAAAAGTTTTGGGGTCAATGATTCTGAGGACGGTGTTGCTGCGGTAGCATTTCATGAATTCTGCAGGTGGACGGCGGAGGGCACTGTGGAACTCGTTCTTATGTACTGTCCTCCCACCGAAAAAGAAAGACCGGATTCGGCCCTTGCGGTCGAGAAATTTGATTGAAGTTTGGATGGACGAAAGTTTATGCACTTTTATTTGCCTTGTCTAGAAGGGTTGCATTTGAGTGAATACTGAATGGGCTACAGCGTCGGGCTATTACTTATTAGTTGTGTTGTAATACATTCCAACCGAGGACTTAGTCATACTAATGCACATTTCAGATCCATCAATTGCTGTACCGGTTCAATCAACATAAAAGGCGAAACTGTATGTAACATGCTTCCCCATACTCTCCGCAACTTATTGTGGTCCTGTCCGCGACAAAGCATACAAAGCAACATGTGGCCACAACATGACATTTTGAGAAGTACGGGTTATCACAGACCGGCCATGATATGCTAATGGTTGGAGACGGTTGTTGATATGTAATAAGCCTAGGATCCTTGCATAAGTGAGTTCGAAAGTGTGTTTACCCTAGCCATCCAGGTGTAAACATATGGACTTCACCACTTACAGATCTGGTCTCACCTAGGCAGTTGGTTGAGGGATCAAAAAATTGAAAAGGCCCTGGTGAAGGAAGGTGATCATGGTGGCCAGCTCCATCACGCAGTGTTATTCACATCGACATTGCTGGGTCAAATTTTAAACGTATTCCAAATGACCGAACGTTATATCTGGCCAGTTTACTATCTAGCCAGTTTACTAGTTTCCACAAAGCTGTGTGCTCAACATCGTGGTGTTCAGTGTGATTCACAGCCCTCTTCCGTCGAATTCCACCAGTTTCGAAAGTCCGGAATCAATCATTATATCTGTAAACTGTGATATCATCCACAGAATTCGGATCAGGCTGAAGTGTTTGGCGGCATTTGAGAAGTACTATCATTTGCACAGCATGCCACAGAAGGTCTCGAGATGGCTCATCGGTTGAGGCGCCAGCTTACGGCCGGAAGGTCCGTGGTAGCCTTGGATAACCTAACAATATCCCAAACCTCATGCCTCACTTTGTTGGCACGGTAGCTAGGCATCGAAAGGGTGCTACAGCTGAACGATTTGTTTTTTTTTATACCACAGAAGGGCCACCTTAGGTTTCGGTTGGTACGATTTTCAAGAAGTGTAAAACAGGAGTTCCCACCAACTTTGTGACTATTGCTCTTAATGAAAATTACTACGATATCTCGAATATCGTAACAAGGGAAACATGAGGCAGTCTTCGTGCAACACATACAGTTGAACAGTACCATAAACGAGAGGTTCAGCTCGGTTTCAGGTAAGTCTTTCGTTGAAACAAAATTGGTATGCCTTTGAGAGTATTTTCCTATCTCCTTGCAGTTGGGTTTCATATAACATAAGTCTGACGGAAACCCGGAGAACGCGTCCACTTGATAAACCCTTAAAAGGAAAAAATCGCTCGTGGGCTGTCGAAGTGTTTTCGGCAACCTTGTGAGTTCACTCCATGAAAACGATCAGCCGAAGCTCTAAACTGGCATATAAGAAGACAAGGAGGGACACATCGTTCATCCATTACTTCAGTTGAATCATGGTCCTGGGACCAAACATGACCAGAGGCAAATCGGTCACCTTATAATACGAGAGTATGATCACTTACTGATAGATAGGTTGTATACCGATAAAAAGGGATGCGACTTCATCCTCTGTGTCCAGTACAAAACTGAATTCCACTCAGTTAATCATACCAGACCACACAATATCCCGGTAAACCACATTCTGTTAGACACTCGAAGCTGAGCTCGGGCCATTCCAATGCGTGTAAGTCCCAGTAAAACGGCTTATTTTGGATTCTTCCGAAAGTTCATAGATATAACTAATAGGTGTTTTGATAGTCATGATTACTCACACTTCGTATGAACTGCTGTAGTTAGATGGATGTATGTGTATCGATCGTGCCTCAGTATTCCTCCTCTGTTTATCAGAGCGATGCATCGATTAGTGCATCAACTGGCCAATTTTCAAATGCTCAACCCATGTGATTTTGCCGGCTACCAAACCAAATGTTCCCCAATCACATCAAGTCTGGCTATGACGATGGTAACGTACTGAATTAATTGATGTGCTCATCAGATGGGAGTTTCGATTTGTCACTTTAGCCTAACTTTGGATTGTGACAGAACTTTACTCAAAATCATATCGTGTCAGGAAAATGGCCCCTGTTCAGACGTATATCTATAGGCACATACTGAAAGCTCAGTTTTCTCTGCTTGTAAGAAGCAATATGACGAAGATCTTGACCGATCCTAACTTCGAGGTATGATAGATTTGGAGGTTTGGCGCAAAATCTGGCAGGGATGTGCATGTTCTTGTTATCCATCCAAGATGGTAATGGACAAACAGGGCCGTAAACTAGATAGCATCTTTATCCCGTAGGGTAAAAAAAGTTTTTCTTCAAATCGGCCAAGCGAACGCCTCATATTTTCCTCTACCGTTTCAGGAACTGGCATTTCCTTACATGATTACTCTTCGTCTGGGCATACGAACGAAGGTTTCCTAATGTCTGCTTCATTTTGGAGTACCGGAACGTGGCTAGCAAGGTATATACTTACGTTTTTTGTTTCTACTAACCCGGTTTCCGGAGGGATGCACACACAGTCCTTTCGGTAGAAGCTGCAAGAGTCGTGGGCTAATTCTCTCCAAATTCATTTCGACAATCGAGCAAACAATGAACTGAATAAATAAATAAACTAAATACAATTTGTGACGTCATCACTCACCCGTTTTGGATGAGAACAACTTGGTGTATTTTACTTCATCTAACAAGCGAAATGAAGTCGAGGACACACACGCAACTCAGCTACTTGTACGACGGTTATTTTCTTTGTTCGAGATCGCCGTGCAACTGTAATAGACGTCAGCATAGTCTCGGATGTGCGCGGAGTGACTAAGTGGAATGAGAAGAAGCAGAAGTATGGTGCTGATGAATATTCCCTCGCCATACTCTCAGCCCTACATGCCATCGGTTGTGGTACCGACTTTTTGGTTCACCAACCGATGATCATCTCTTATCGAGGGATCTGCTTTCCTCAATCCGCTAAGGCTGTTATTGGACTGGGACTTCCTAAGGTCGCAGTCAGTGACTTGTGTTTGCTTGCCATTGTGGGCTCCCTGCGTACTTATGACACTTTTATGCGTGGCACATGGCGTTGAAGGTACATTTTTGCCATTTAATCTCACACCAGACCCAGTATGACGGTCACTTTGTGCCTGATGTGCGAGTCTTGACTGTGCTAGCGCACACTGCGCCTTGAAGAGCATTCACCATTGTTTGTCCTTTCTTTGGTTGTTGGTCCTTAGACGCGTGTTCCCATACCAAAATCTTTACATACTTTGGGATTCACCTCATCAGACTGGCACTGTCCTTGGCATGATTTCGAATGAGACGTTTCTCTCTTTTCTCCCATATTCTCCTGTTACTCTTTCGCATTCATCGCTTGCATTCACTTTTTATGTTTGTGACCATGCTCTTAAAAAGTAAATGATAATAGTAATATACTGACTCGACTTGATGACTGGACTGACAGTCCGATCACTAACCGAAAAAATTAGATGCCAGGATTGTTCCTTTCAATGAGAAGTTCCTTATAGGGTGGGAGTATCCCATGAAGTGTGTAGCTTAATAGCAGACCACTCATTTGCAATTGAAATGGATATCAATAAGTAGTCGCACAGTGATAAATTAATTAGCAGTTGATCAGAATTCTCTGAACGTGAAACTCTGTGTCAAATCGTCAGACTAATTAACCGTCTTGATCTAGCTACCGAGTTGCAAGGCAATGAATGTTTTTAACTTTTAAGTCTGAAAGACGCAGATTAATCCAAATTGATGCGGAAACAGTGCAAGGTTAAAAGTGAGGAATGAAAATAGAAAGTCACAAGAAAGGACACACACGAGGTAGTGGAAAAACGCTCACTACTGGGAGCCAGACCGTTTTGCTACTCGACATCTCGAAATGGATGGAAATGAATTTAACATGCACATCAACCCTGTTGGTACAAGCAGCAACTTCATCAGCAAAATATGGACTATTGGAACTTATCTGTATCTGTTATTTTTTGCCATAAATAAATAGGACGCGCCGGTTAACAATAAACGCTCTCTTGAAAGCTTGTCTTTTTAGGATCAGTAGCGAGGCGTTTAATGCGATTTTATCTGCAGATGAAAATACAAAGAAAAGACACTTGCCCCAAAAGCTTCCCTCACTTTAGAGCTTCGTCGTCATTTAATCTTTCTGGGTTTTGTTACTATCAAGAGATTTTGGAATTTTCGGTAATCGTTTCATCCAGTAGGCGAAGCCAATCTACACCAAGAACCAGAGAGCCACTGGTTCATCCTCACTGGGAATCATCAGCAGGTTGTGTCCCACTGATTTCCTTGTAGAATGGAGCTCCCAACCTCTCGGTTGAGACTTGGAACGTTTGGCCACGAGAATTTGTGGAGACCGGGATGTTTAATCACGATCCAAATTCATGATCACATCAATGATCGAAGGATATACTCTCTCCGAACTCTTCATTCAACTGTTCCAACCTGGTGGCTGTTTGGTTCGCAATGGTAAGGTGGATCACACCTTTCTAACCAATGAGTCGTTGGGAAGGGTTCTACTGTTGTCGGACAATTATGCTTCCGAATAGGTTTTTCGGACATATTTACTTATGTAGGCGATGTTCTCCTGGCGGCATGGTAGGCTCTATATAGATTGTAATATGTTGAACTGGTTGCCCTATCTCTAAATTTCAAATGTTGCTCTTCTGAAGCCGAATGGCAACGACCATGAGTGCGAATATTTGTGACAAACAAGTCAGAATGAAGATATCAGATTTATTGCCAGCAAATCGTAAAAAAAACAAGGACAGCTCAGGCAAAGAAGTTTACTGTGTCTGTCCAGTGGCGTTGGTATTCCCCCAACGGTCATCCTATCGTTGACTTCGAATAAGTTGAAAGAGGCTATCTGGATGTTGCCATTTTGGGTCACATGAAGAGACAAACGTTGGAGCTCGGGCCTGTCCGAATTCACCTTGATGGCTTGTGCCTCTGCTGAAAGAAAAAGGCTAAACGCGTGATGTTGCTGAAACCTGACACAAACCGTACTTTGCTTTTTTCTCGGGGTATATTTACTTGATTTACAGGTCCACACTGGAATTGAACACGTTGTTACTTTTGTCGAAACTCGATTTTGGTACTAAAATACCTCCAAAACCTGCGCATACATGCACGAGAAGTCAATGACTTTCCTCCTCTAACTGCATTGATGTTACGGATACGATATTTGATAGAACGAGGTCAAGGTTCCCCCTTGACATTTCTGACAAAATGTACATCGGAGTGAGTTTAGTAAGGTCTAATCTCGGCCATTTCGAATAAGCTGTATTTTCGGACTCTTTGGAGCAGTACAGTAGTAGCCTCTGCTGGAGACTGTGATGGAAAGGCAGCCAAGAAAATAGGAGAAACCTAGAGTGAAGTTCCAACATCGTAGACGGTACATACCAGTCGCTGATTTTGTTCACGGGAAGTAATGCTCGTTATGCAGCACGACACTAGCCTGTGCGCCTGGGTAGTTCGTAAAGGGGAACAGGTTGCGGGCAGTCAAGGTATTTTCAGCAAACTTGTGAGTGATATGTTTAAGTCTGAACGGGACGGTTATTCACGACTGTAGGTGTTTCGAACTTACGCCATTACGTCTAAATTAGGTGAGCGTCAGGCACATGATGCTTGGCTGAAGCATGCCAGTCAGCGATCATAGCCAGGCTCGTGTCCGCATACAAACCGGAAATTATCAGTTTCGAACTGGTCACTGTCATACTTCATCCAGTAGTGTAAGCCAATTGACCTCACCATCGATGGTACCAGCCCAACCAAATAGCTGTGAATCAAGTGGCCATCCGCCATCGATTAGCACGTCAGGTAGAGTAGCGACAGCAAAAGGTAAACATTAACATCCGTCCTGTTCTGTTTTGTGGCTAGTTCCAACGACAAGCAGGTAGAGGAGTGTCTCACGGCACTGTCAGCTCTGCATTTTCTCATGCCACCGACACATACACACGCATCTTGCATCGTCCATGACCCTCCAGTTTATTCGAATAAACTCATGCAAATAATAGCCGAGATGATATGATATTACTACATGCCATCAGCCAACTGAACCAACCAGTACAGGGTATAAACCTCCTGGCTAATATCTACCGAGCAGATGGGGTATGGACAACCGTAAATGGTATTTCAGGAGAGACCTCAGCTGATTCAGAAGGCTTCGGATAGCAGTACGGCGACCAGTGAGAGGAAAGAAGCTGACGTAACCAAATACTGGAAAGTAAACAAACCACTGTTTACATTCTTTATATAATTTTCAAAGAAGTTTGGTACGGGCGACCATCTAGGGATACATATGCTCTGCAGAGTTGGCGATTCCTACACAAGCAGAAATTTGAGACTAATCGAAAGTGACCACAACAGAAAGGCGACCAACGCAGACAGATATACTGTAGAACGAGACTACTTAAAAGGATTTTCTGTTTCTCCCTCTCTGCCTAATCCCATATAGTGCTCTGTCTCTCTCGAGATGCTATACTTCAAAGATGAGAACGGCAAGACCTTTTCAAATAGTCTCCCCAAAAGCAGTGAACAATGAGGTTGTGCATTCTGTCTCATCCAGTCCTTATTACATTACATTTTGGACCACACAGCGAGCTAGACTCATGACCTGAGCGAATTGATGATTTAGTGAATCTCCTTCCCACCGCTCCTCGTACATATAGAGTACTTTTCAAGAAAGATTAAAGGTATTCATGTTAGGCAACCAGTCCCCGAAACAGAGGCTTGTTTTCCATTGCATTCTGTTCGGAAGCAAACTTTCAAATTCCTGTTTGACTCCTAAATGGGAAGCACGCAATGACCGTGTACTTTGCCACCGTTAAAGATTTAGGAGTTCACTAACA